GAAGTCAGGCCAGCCCCAAGGTATGAGTTGGGGAATCCAGGCCCAGGACACGGGAGAGAGGACAGAGGGGTGAGCAGCAAGGGTGAGTCCCAGGACCTGGGGGCTCCTAGGGGCTTCTGACCAGCTGGGGTGTGGGAGAGCAGGTATCCCCACTGTGTGTGCCTTGTGCACAGAGCCTGCCATGGCTGCTGGGGGAAAAAGGGGACAGGGGACAGGTGGGAGACCACCAGGACCCAGCCGTGACACAGAGGCCTTCACCAGGGGCAGCAAAGACAAGCGGACTGAGGCCAAGGTGGGCAGTGTCGCCTCACGCCCTCTCCAACAGCAGGGTGGTCTTTTTGGTCTTGGGGACATTCAGGTCCCAGTAACAGGAAGTTCCCACAGTCTGGCTATGGGCTCTGAAGGCGAGTCAGAAGACCAGGCCTCCAGGGCCCCAGGGCAACAAACGCTGGGACTAAACAACGTGAGCCTCTGGCCAGGGTTCTGGAAGGGAGGCCTGTTCTGCTCAGGGCAGACCACATCCAAGCCAGGTTTCATGAAGGAGCAAAGGTCCAGGCTAGGAAGGCTCATCCTGGGCTGTGCTGGCCCCTCGCCAGGCCCCGGGCCTCACCAGCCGCCTCTCTGTCCAGATGCTGGAGGTGGTTGCCAACACACGGGTGCGGGATGTGTGTGACAGCATTGCCACCAGGCTGCAGCTGGCCTCCTGGGAGGGCTGCAGTCTCTTCATCAAGATTGCAGACAAGGTGAGCTGCGCTGGGGCTGGGCGGGTGGTGAGCGGGATCCTAGGTGCTGCCTGGTGGGGGCCTCGGCCTGCCAGGGGCACCCATGCTGGACCAGGCTGCACAGCCAGGGCTGCCGGGACAGAGGTAGGTGGGGTCCCGGAGCAGAGCCAGCTCCACACGCCGAAAGCCCACGCACAGCCAACTCCAGCGCAGCACCCAGGCCGTAGGCGGCCAGTGGACCGGAGCCCGGCAGGGCCCTCTCAGGAGGACAGTCCTCTGGCAGCCCCCCACCGTCCCTGCACCTTCCCCTCCCCAGGTCATCAGCCAGAAGGAGGGAGACTTCTTCTTCGATTCCCTGAGGCAGGTGTCTGACTGGGTGAAGAAGAACAAGCCCCAGAAAGAAGGTGAGGAGGCCTCTGTGGAGCTGGGCGAGGGTGCGGCTGGGTGGGGTGAGGGGGCACCGTCGGCCTCCGTGTGGCCCATGCCCATTCATCCATCCATTCCTTCCTGTGTGTCCCTGGGTTGTGGGGACAACCAGGCCCTGGGGCCTGGTAGTGAGGGCCTCCCAGCTCAGGCAGGAACCGGTGGCTGCACCATGGGGTGATGAAGGATGCCCCAGGGCTGAGGGGCATGACCCCCATGGGCTGGGGGTGGGAGTGGGAGTCCAGGAACATTGCTGGAGAAGGCAGCCTCCACACTCATCTTGAAGGCTGAGGAAAACCTGGGGGACTGGGGAGGAAGAAGGGTGGAGGCTTTCCAAGCAGGGAGGTGGCAGGTGCAGTGTGGGGGTGCCAGGGGGTCAGGGCTGGTGTACCTGCTGGGCCAGGCTTGGTGCCCACTGCTGGCCCTCGCCCAGGGGCCCCCGTGACGCTCCCCTACCAGGTGTACTTCATGCGGAAACTGTGGCTCAACATCACCCCGGGGAAGGATGTGAATTCGGACACCATACTCCATTACCACCAGGTACTGGGCAGGCTGCCCTGGTGGCCACCGGGGCCACCCCCATCCTCCCACACCTGTTCTGAGGCTGTAGAAGCCAGCAGGCCAGGGCAGGACCAGCCTCAGCCCGGGGTACCAGCCCATGTGGTAGGCAGACCAAGCCCCTGAGGGCTCTGGAACCAGGAGCAGAGGGCAACAGTGTTTGGGGACAGTGACTGCACTGGCACCTGCAGCATGACTTGGGGAGGGTGGGACAGAGGGTCCTGTGGCCCATGGAACAGTGGCCATGGCCTGCAGGGCCAACCACATGGGTGGAGCAAGGCCATCACCTCCACGCAGATGTCAGGGGGCCTGCCCTGACTCAGGGTCATTCCCCTGCCCTGACACTCTACCCTGCTCAGTCCATCCTGGATGGGGTGGGCTAAGCCCCAGGTCCCCACCATCTGAGCGGGAAAGAGGTTGGGGGCGTGCGGGTCGCGGCCGGAGACCCAGCATGCCCAGTGTGTCCACCACCCAGGAGCTGCCCAAGTACCTGCGCGGGTTCCACAAGTGTTCGCGGGAGGACGCCATCCACCTGGCGGGCCTCATCTACAAGGCCCAGTTCAACAACGACCGGTCCCAGCTGGCTAATGTCCCCAAGATCCTGAGGGAACTGGTGCCCAAGGACCTCACACGCCTGATGTCCTCGGAGGAGTGGAAAAAGGTCCCTCACAGGGCTGGGGAAGGGTTCCTGGGCTGCTGCTCCTCCCTGGGATCCTGCCCCAGTGCCATGCCCTGCCTGGGCTCCAAGACCACATGGGTGCACACGGGTGGTGTGGAGGGTGGGCTGGCTCTGCACACACCACGCCTTCCCACGCTGTCCACGGCGCCACCGAGACTGTCCTGCGCTGCGTCCCTCCCTACCCCTCCCCACCCCTCCCCTCCCCTCCCCCCCCCCCCTCCCCACCCCTCCCCTCCCCTCCCCACCCCGCCCCGCCCCGCCCCCCCCCCCCCCCCGCCCCACCCCACCCCACCCCACCCCACCCCACCCCACCCCACCCCACCCCACCGTACTGGCCTGGGGTAGGCAGGTGCTGCCCCCACCAGGGCTTTGCGGGGCCTCAGCACCCAGGCCCTTACTGGCCCTCCTGTTCCCCCAGAGCATCCTTCTGGCCTATGACAAGCACAAGGACAAGACAGTGGAGGAGGCCAAGGTGGCCTTCCTGAAGTGGATCTGCCGCTGGCCCACCTTCGGGTCTGCCTTCTTCGAGGTGAAGGTAGGCCTTGCCCCACGCCCGGGCCTCCTGCCCAAGCAGGCTCTGCTCAGCTCTGCCCAGGCAGGCCCAGCATCAACCAGCACACGTCTTGGGTGGGACTGGCCACGAGGCTGGAGGGCGTGGGCGTGTGTGTGTATGTGCACGTGGCCTAGGTGAGCTCCTAGGAGGTGCAGCCTGGCCTCCTGGGCTGGACTAGGACCGCTGTGTCCCTCCCTCCCTCCCAGCAAACCTCGGAGCCCTCCTACCCGGACATCATCCTCATCGCCATCAACCGGCATGGGGTTCTGCTCATCCACCCCAAGACCAAGGTAGCTGCCGGGCCTCTGGAGGGGCTGGGGGCCACCAAGTCCAGGGACCCGTGCAGGTGGGGCTGCAGTCACCTCTGCGGTGTGTCGTGCCTCTCTCCTGTCCCCTAACACACACACAGCCCACGGGCTCTGGAGGCACCCTGCCCACCCACCCTCTCTGCCCCCAGGACCTGCTCACCACCTATCCCTTCACCAAGATCTCCAGCTGGAGCAGCGGCAGCACCTACTTCCACATGGTGCTGGGGAACCTGGGCCGTGGCAGCCGCCTGCTGTGCGAGACCTCCCTGGTGAGCGCCGGTCCCTTCTCCCAGCCAGGATGCACAGGATGGAGCGGCTGGAGACTGGGTTCCCCACCCTCACCCCTTTCAAGTGGCTCATTAAGAGGGCTCAGTCACAGGGCCCAGGCGGGGCCAGCAGACCTGGAGGGGGACTGGGTGCATCCCCAGGACCAGCAGCCAAGGTGGCAAGGCCAGGCAGGAGCCCCTGCACCCTTGGCCCGTTCTGAGGCGGGAGGGAGACCTAGCCCCAGCAGGGCAGGCAGAAATGACGGTGCCAACGGCAGGAGCCCGCCTGCCCTTTCTTCATGCCCTGCACCGCTGGGTACTGAGGAAGAGAAGGTGGTACCTGAGTCCAGGACCCCCACCTGCCCTCTGCACCCACAACTCTGACCCACCCTGTCCCCTGTCCAGGGCTACAAGATGGACGACCTGCTGACCTCATATGTGCAGCAGCTCCTGAGTGCCATGAACAAGCAGTGGGGCTCCAAGGCCCCAGCCCTGGCCAGTGCCTAGCAGCGGATTTTGGCATGTCTGCTCAGGCACCCTGTCAACCTCCAGCCTGGCAGCACCTTCCCAGGCCCTCTCAGCCCAGGGCCTGTCCTCGGCAGGCAGCCTTCCATGCTGCCCCCCATACGAGCCCACTCAGCCCCGCAGGTGGCCCCCTCTGTCCTGGGCGCTGCATATGGAGGTGAGAAGACCCAGTGTGGGTCGGGAGTCTCGGACCCCCAGGCTGTTGGTGGATGGCTGAGAGGACCCCCCCGCAACCCCAGCCCACCAGAATGTTCAGTAAAAACCCCTGGGGCAGGAGAAGCGAGTGTGTCTGAGGGGGCAGGGTATGGCACGAGGTGGACATGGGGCCTGGGAGGCTCTGGCCCGCAGAGAGCCGCAGGGAAAGCAAAATGCCTTGCGACTTTCCCAGGGAACTGGGAGGGCAGCTGCATTCTCCAGGAATGACTTCATCCCTCCCTCTTTCTGCTTCCTTCCTCCCCCTCCCTGCCTTCCTGTTTCTCAGACTGGGGAGGGGCACTCATGGGAGAGTCCTCCTCCCAGCGCCCTCCTCACACCTTCTGTCGTCCCCGCCCGCCGCCCGCCCGCCACCCGCGGCACCCAGGAGGCCGGGGTGGAGGTGCGGCTCTCTGGCTGCTGGCTTCGTGCTAAGGCCAGCTTGTGCCCAGACAGTGGCCAGAGCTGGATATAGCACCTTGGAAGCCTGGATTTCCCCCGCTCCCTGGCATGTCCTGTCCCTTCCCACCCCTCCTCAGCCCACTGGGACAGCTTAATGTGGACCTGGCCACCCAGGCTTGTGAGGTCCTGGCAGGGCTAGTTTTCAACCCCTTATGGCAGCCTGGCCTGGGATAGAGGCTAGGGCCCCCTGAACTCGTGCCTGTCTGTCTGATGTCTGTCCCTCTGTTCAACTGCCCCAGCAGCAGTGTGTTCACAGCCGCTGCCATCCCCTCCACTCCCAACCCCTGCCACAAACCACGCAGACTGCTGTGGTCGTGTGAACAAGCCTTCATTGTGCAAGCGTGAGCCCCGCACCGGGTCTGCGCCGGCCGCAGAGGAAGCGTCCTCCCTGGCGGTGCTAACAAGCCACCTGCGACCCCACCACCTCCTGGACCCTGGCCCAGCCCAAAGGCTCAACACAAGCCCCAAGCTGGGTGCGGGGGTGGCCAAGGTGGGACTCCAGGAAGGCCTTCCGAGGGATGGAGGTGGGTCCTGTCCCTCCAGGGAGCTTGTGGGTGTGGACAGCAGGACTTGCTGGCTCAGTGTGGGCACAGGGACACTGTGCCACTGGTTGAATGAGTGGAGAGGGATTGCAGGTGGCTCCTAGAGGCCTCCATCTGCGTGGCCCTGGCCCTGTGGCTCCAGCAGGCTGCCCTGGCTATGGGTGGCCCAGGAGCCACATGCACTTAGTGGGGCTGCTCTGGGGCAGGGGCTGTCACAGGACAGCACGAGCTACCGAGCCACCTGGGGAGGGCCAGGCGGGGAACTGTGGTGCAATTTGCTCCTGTCCCTGGAGGTCTGTGGGCGGAAGCTGTGGGCACAGGCGGCTGTGGCTGTCAGACGTGGGGTCACAGGCTCCCACTCCCTAGCTCCTGCCTCCTCACAGAGGGAAGCCACAGCCAAGGAGAAGAGAGACATGGGGAAGGCAGAGATGAGGGAACAGGAAGGGAGGAGGCAATGAGGAAGGAGAAGGGGAGGGTAAGGTGCGGAAGGCGCAGGTGGACCGGGCCGAGGGGGCTGAGCAGGGACAGCGGGAGGGGAGAAGGCAGAGGGCCCGAGAGGCGGCCGTGCAAGAGGCCCTTCAGGCAGAGTTGAGGTCCGCGGCCTTGGGCTGGGCCTTGCGGGAGGTCAGCTCCGACAGCTTCTTCAGCCGCTTCTTCAGCTCCAGTGGGAACTTCTCATAGCACCTTTTACACACGGGCTTCATGTCAAACTCCACAAACTTGTTCCTGGGGAAGAAGCAGAGCTGTCAGCAGAGCCCCACGCCCACCCCTTTAAACCCAGACAGGGGACCATGGAGTGGGCCTCCCCACACCAGCCTCTCCTAGCCAGCAGGCCAGGCCGTAGGGTGACCTGACCAGAGAGCATAGGGATGAGAAGGGCCTTGAGGCTGCCCTTCCCTCACAGAGGCTTCCCTCAGGTTCTGACACCCCAGAACCCTCTATGCCTCCCCACGGCCCTTGGAAACCTGGATGCCATTTCTCCGCTCCCAACTCCAGCCATCCCACACCCCTTGAAGCTTCCTGGATGAGCAGCTGACACTGCTGCTTTTGCATATGCTGTTCCCTGGGCTGGAACGCCCGTCCCTCCCCAGAGTCCAGGGTTCTGGCAGGTGTGTTGGAGGCACGAGTGTTCCTCCTCTCACTGTGCCCTGGGGTCCCTGGACCTGCCCCCATCTCACTGGGCGGTATGGGGCCGGGATGCCCCTTGTCCCCACCATATCCCCAGGCCAGACCCAGCTGGTGTGCAGGAGGGCTGCTAAGAGGAAGGACCCGCAGGAGCCCCCTCCACCCTGAGCCCCATCCCACGATCACAGGACTCACTTCAGGGTGAGCTTGCTGTTGCAGGTGGAGCAGGAGAAGCAACTCACACACCAGGCCTTGTTGAGGGCCGACACCACTGTGAGGGAAGCATGTGACTCAGCAGGGCTGGCTAGGCTGCCACAGGCGCAGCTGGGCTCACAGCTGCAGCACCCAGGCCCCAGGAGAGCAGGTGGGGTGGGGGAGGGAACACAGGGCCTCACCATCGCCTTCAATCACATGGCTGCAGTTGTAGCAGACGTCCCCGAAGAGCTGTGGGCCGAGCAGGCTGTCAGAGCGGCTGCAGGCAGTCACACCCTAGCCCAGGGCCATCATGCAGCGGGCCTGGCCCTCCAACCCGGCCCCTCTCAGGCATCTCCCAGGCCCTGCTTCCCAGGGCCCAGCTGCAAGACTGGGTTGAGGGCACTGCAACCCATTAGAACCACCCCCTGCCCCGGGAAGGACAACCAGCTGGGACATTGCTCCCCAGAAGGCCCCTTTGCTCTGGCTGCTGCTGTCCTGCAAGGAGGTGGGCCCAGGTGGTGACCGTGTCCCATCAGCCCCCCCCCCCCCGCCTTCTGTACCAGAGCAAGGGAGGGAGGGGGTTGCTGGCACTGTCAGCCCCGTGTGCCCAGGACCTCACACCAGCCCCAGAACATTTTTCAGAGGAAGACACTGAGGCTGAGAGAGCTGCTTGGGTCTCGAGACCCCAGGCCAGGAACCAGGGCTGAGGGTGCAGGCCTGGGCTCAGCACCTGGCAGAGCTCCTGAGGGGGTGCCCACAGCCTCCCCTGCTCACGGCAGCTCTCCTGGCCACCCCTCCAGATCCGCGTCCCTGAGGGCTCTGCGCCGGGCTCACCTGGTTGTAGTGAGTCTCACAGTAGGCCAGGCCCTTCTTCTCATAGTGCCGGTGCCCCAGAAATGGCTTCTCACACTTGGCGCAGACGAAGTGCTGCGAGGACAGAGGGCGGGCCGGGCGGCATCAGGGCTAGAGCGGTGACCCCAAGGGACAGTGGTGACCCGGGGACAGCAGTGACCCCAGGAGCCAGTGGTGACTCCAGGGGACAGCAGTGACAGAAGGGGACAGGAAGCAGAGTCTGGGCAGGTGGAGGCCCTTCAGGATTCACACTGGGCAGAGAGGGCTGACACCTCTGTGAACGCCCTGGGGTCAGCAGACCCCACCCCTCCTCTAAGAGACTGATGGGAACCTTGCTAGTCACCATCCCCTCCCAGTCTGGCCTCCCCCAGGAGGAAGTCAGAGGGCAGCCTCAGCCCCAGGAGTCAGGTACCAGCCCCATGCTGTGGCATGGTGGGCCCTCGCTGGCAGAGGCGGCCCAGCCTGTCCACGTGGGGCCTCTGCAGGCACCCCCTGCAAGCCTGGGGTCACTGAGCAGCACCTTGCATTCCCCCAGGGATCTGCTTGTGAGGATGAGGGCTGGGGGCTGGGGGCTGGGGCCTGCATCAGGGCAGGACGGCATGGCCTCCCACCCCAGCTGCCACCCAACACAGCTTCTGGACACAGCGCTGGCCAGGTCATCAGGGAAGGTGGTGGGCTCACCGATCCCAGTGTACCCATGAGAACATGAGAGCCCACCACCCAGCGGGGGCACTCACCCAGCGGGTGGCCCAGTGCTCACACCTGAGGAACTCTTCAACTCCGTGTCTGCACAGCGCTGTCCACATAGTGGGTTCTGCCAACCACAACCCCCAGGGCACCCTGGGCAAACTGCCCCCAGGGTTTTCTCCTGACCTTGGAGTCTCTTAGAATGCCAGCAGGGGGAAGAGGAGAGGTGGGCACAGCTACCTAACCATGCGTGTGCACTCGGGTCTCCTGGCTCCCGTGGGCAGGCTGGTGTCCTCGGCTGAGCACAGCGAGGGGCAGTGCCCCAGAGGAAGGGCCTCGCCGGGAGCCAGCCACGCAGCCTGGGCTCTGCTCTCACCGTGACCCTGAGCTGGGGCACCCCCAACCTGAGGCCACGTGCCCGCCAGCCTGGCTCACCTCCACGTGCCACTGCTTGCCCAGCGCGTTGACCACTCGGCCCTCAATGGGCCGGCGGCAGGCACCGCAGATGGGGACGCCCATCTTGTCATGGCAGGGCAGGCAGTAGAGCTCGCCCTTCAGCTCACGGGCCTCAGCCGTCAGCTCCTTCCTGGAAGACAGTGTGCAGCCCCCAGGTGCCGCCCGTGCCCTTCTGCAGGGTCATGCCAGCAGCGCCGCCACCCCGGGGCGCGGCTCCCCGAGGGGCCCATTCTGTGCCTGCAGAGCCCAGGCGGCAGCTCCCTCTGATCTCCGGGCTCTGTGCAGACTTCCTGTGCCCCAGACAGGCCCTGGAGCACACACTTCCCGCACAGCCCAGAAGAGTGGCCTGTGTTCCGCACCCAGGCCTCTGAGAAGCAGGTCTGTTCTCCGGCCCCCTCCTCCTCCAAACCCCACCGGGTGTCTGGACAGGCACGGAGAGGACTGGAGTGGACGGTGGGGGTGAGTGAGGACAGGGGCGGAGGGGCTGCCTGTGCAACTCCTGTCTCTAACACCAGCGCCAAGCCCACTCCCGGTCTCTTGCCTGCCCCCCTAGCCCTCGGGTCCCTTCTGCTGCTCCACCTCAACTCTCGCCTGCAGTCTAGGGCCAGCCCACCTGCCTCCTGAGTCTCAAGTGCCCCCCGAACAGAGCCCTGGAGAGAGAAGCTTCCTGCCATGGCCGCTTCCCGGCCCCTGGCCCACTTCTGCCCTGCGGCCCCCCCCTCCCGGGACCCCTCTCTCTGCCCACGCTGCTCACCTCTCCCACCTCAACACTTCCCCAGGTGGAGGCCCCACCGCCCTGACCCTGGGCCCGCCCTGGCTCCCCGCCGCCCGCACTGCAGGGCCGGGCCGTGCACCTACCCACAGTGCGTGCAGTTGAAGTGGTCAGGGTGGTAGGCGTCGCTCCTGAACATGAGGGGCTGCTCGTCGATGACCAGGTGGCACCGCTGGCAGATGTACTTGCCCAGGCCCTTGGCCTTCTCACGGTTGTGGCAAGGCCGGCAGAGATGCCTGCGGGAGGCAGGGGCATTAGGGCCAGACCCCCCACTCCCACCCAGCCCGGCCCCCTCCTGGAGAAGAGAGCCCAGACCCCCTGCCACTTCGCTGAGCAGCTGGGGGCTTCAAAGGGGCTCAGCCCAGGGTACAGAAAAGCAGGCTGCCCAGTCACAAGGCCACAAGAGTGTCCTGGAAATGCGACCCACGCTCAGCAGGGAAGACGCCAGGACGCCCGAGTTCACTGCCTCTGGATCATATTTTTCCTCTTTCTACTTTCTCTAAGCCTAGGGCCTGCTGTGGAATACAGTAGACACTTAATTGATATCTGCTGAAAACACTGTTTTATTTTCCCAATGTATTTAACACACACGAGTTATAGTGTCACTGTGCCCAGCAGAGTAGCCGGTGGGTGTCCCGGGAGGCCCACTCACCCCCTTCCTTCGGGGTTTGCCGGATGAAGAAGGGCCCAAACACGTACAGGCGATTTCTGTCTCCAAAGACAAGCACAGCTATGTCAGACGGAGGTCCCCAAACCCAGGAACTGTCATTACAGAGTCTTTTTGTGAAGGCCTCAGAATAATTTCTGATGCTGCTTGCTGTGTTGGACAACAGCTGTGTTCTCAACGAAGAGACAAATCAGCATGGTTTCTGTTTCCTTGGACCTCAAAGGTGGCAGGAATCTAGATTCAGAGTCCCCAGATAAAGATACACAGAGCCCCCAATCCCACCTGCCACCGAATCTCTCTCTCTGGCGCTCCTGCTGCATCCAGGCCTCCCTTCCCAGGCTCCCCAGCCACAGGGGCCCTCTCCACCCCTCACCAGCCTCCACGGCTGCTGACGCCGTGTTGGCCCCTCTGACAGGCTGGTCAGGGAGGACACTGAAGACATCCAATCTCAGACCCAAGATCCCCACCCAGGTTATGGTGGGCAGACCCCAGATGCCAGGGCCGCCCATGCAGCATTCCTCCCTGGACCCCAGGACCTGCTACTGCTGGGTCTGGACTCCATCCTGCACAGGTACTGTCATCGGCCCTGGGGTGTCTCCTCATCAGCTGTGTGCAGGGCAAGGGGCCCAAGCAAAGGCCCAGCCTCCACTTGTTAAGCTGCTGACTGGCTCTCTGTGCCTCCCCGAGACCCTACAGGCCCAGCAGGGGGCAGCAGCTCAGGGTCAGTTGATGGAATGCCTGGGTGAATGAATGATTGTGCAAGAGAGGAAGGGAGCCACGGTGGGCATCATCTCCCCTCCACACTGGCCAGGGCCCTGGCTCTTACGCTCCAGGAATGGGAAGCAGTTGTGGCCTGTGGCTTCAGTCTTCATCACCACAATCCCTGAAGCCCACCCTTGCCCAGACACCTGTGCCCCAGCCCCAACCCCAGGCCACCTCCTCAGCAGGTCTGGGGCTGAGCTGCCCCACCTGGCGCCTGTGGCAGCCAGTCCATGCCCCCTGCAGTGCCTCTGTCCCAGACTCGGCCCCATGACGACACTCCACATGCTGGTGACTCCTCCAGAGCACCAGGACAACACTCAACCCGCGAGGAATTACTTCTGTTTCAAAGATACAGAAATCAGCTCAATGCCTGAAAACTCCATCGCCACGGTCAATGCCCTTGAAGCCATCGACAGTGACCACCCCAATAACAGAAGCTCTGTGAGCCCAGAAATGCCCTGCTGAGGGTGGTTAGCTTCAAGCCACCACCTTTCCAACCAGCCTGGGCCAATTCTTCCAGACGGCCGCCTGCAGGCACAACAGGAAAGGGACGTGCGCACTGGCTCAGACACCTCAACCTGCGCCCTGGCTCAGACACCTCGCACCCGCTGGCTCAGAGACCTCAACCTGCGCACTGGCTCAGACACCTCGCACTCGTCTGGCTCAGACACCTCAACCTGCGCCCTGGCTCAGACACCTCAACCTGCGCCCTGGCTCAGACACCTCACACCCGGCTGGCTCAGACACCTCGCACCTGCGCGCTGGCTCAGACACCTCAACCTGCGCACTGGCCCAGACACCTCGCACCCGGCTGGCTCTCAGGCCAGACAGACGGGGAAGCCCATCTCTCTCGTAGGAAGTCCAGATGGGAAACAGCTTCTCGACAGACCACATCACAGCACCAGATCTAACGGTGACCTTCAGAATTATTTTTCAGATTGAATTAGGATCGAATCTAAGAATTCTAAATTCAAAATGCAGCAGAAAAACAAAACACACACACACGAAGCCTAAGTTCTGGAGGGACACGCCCTTGGGTTCAAATCCTGGCTCTGTCGCTTCCTACTGTTGGCTGATGGGTGAGTTTCTTCATGTGCCTGAGCCTCAGTTTCCTTGTCTGTGAAATGGGGCAATAATCCCAGCTGCACGGGGTGATGCGAAGAGACAAATTTAAGATATGGCCCCCGAAATGCTAGCCACATACATACAGTTTTCAATGTTTAAACAACAAAATGTAAAGTCTTTTGAAACCAGGAAAGGCGATTTGGCTTCCCATGTTGCTGGATGTATCATTTGTAGAAAGAAAGAAACAAACTTTGTTCACTCAGTCTCAGAGGCGGCCGCCGGCAGCACTCAAAGGCACCCCAGCCGGGAGCCAGGCCAGGGAGGAGCCCCGTGGCCAGCTTTCGGATTCACGGGCTCCCGTGCCGAAGGGGAGCTGCACCGGCGGGCACCCGGCCTCTGAGCTGAGCCGCATCCCCACGGGCAGGACAGCGCCCCATTATGAGGCTCCTGCAGCTGTGCCTCGCTCCAGATAAAGGCCATGATTTATTCGGCATGCCCAAATGGGGCCTCATTATACAGGGCAGGACACAAGGACCCTACAGCAAGTGTCCTCAAAGAGTCGCCTCTCACTCAGTGAGCAATCCTCCTCGGACTCCCACCCTCCGATCACAGGCCCCCTCCGCTGTCTGCGGGCGCAGGCCTGAGAGCGCCGCCTGTTGCCATGGCAGCCGGCCCCTCCCTGCCCCCCATCAGTAGGAAATCATCCCCTTCTGAAACGTCCTGTTGTGTCCCTCAGCTCCAGCCTAAGCCCCCCAGCCAGCCCCCGCCTGCTCTGAGTCTGAGACAGTCACACACTCAGCCTCTGTGGCCAAGCTGGGGGCGGGGGGCACGGGCTAGGGACACACTAGAATATTCACGCTCTGGTGGCAGCAGCCGCAGCCAGAGGAGCGGCCGCCACACAAGGGACCCCTCAGGAATGAAGCAGCCTTTCAGGGCCAGAGGGGCTGTGGTCTCCCTTCTTCTCCTTAAATAGCCAGCGTTCCACCCACAGCGGCACAGAGCCCTCTGCCACCGACACCCACGGGCGGAGATCACCTGCTGCCCCACAGACCCCTGCCCCTTCCTCCTGGACCAGCGGCTAGAGGTAAGGGGCAGGCCGGGTGCGGCGGGCTGGGAGCCCAGGACTAAGCAGAGGAAACACTCAGCGGGGAACCCTGCCCAGGGAGACGGGCAGCAGCCTGTCTCGTGCCATGTCTTTGGTGATGGTCTGACCTGTGCATTGAAGGCTGACCCATCTGAATTCACAGCAGCCCACAAAGCGGTGTTTTGTCCCGCTGATGGGGGCTTGCAGAGGGGAAGTGGCTTGCCCGCAGTCCAGGCTGCAATGGCAGCACCCCTGCCCCTAACCATGAGACAGCCTTGACCCATACGGGAGCCAGATGCCTGGGAGAGGGTTCAGGCCAGGGATGGACTGGTGCTAGTGCAAAGGTAACTGCCACCACCTGGCCATGGCAGCTGCTACCACAGGCCCTCCCTGAGGCCACGCGTGCCCACCCGCCACCTCCACAGAGGCCTGAGACCTGTCCTAGATGCTCAGCTCACCCACAGCCATGGGACCCAACACTGCCCAGGCCCTGGCCCGTTCCACGCCCCTTCCTCTTAGGAACACCCGCTCAGTGGCCATCTGAGCAGTGAGCCGTGAGGAACCAGTGAGTCTAGGCTGAAGTTCGTTTCTAAAGGGCAATGGAGAGTGAAACGGGGCCCATCTCAGACCAAACTGCAGCAACCAGTATCAGAACTCCTCAAACGAGGGACAGAAAGGGAGGAGAAACCTCAGCAAACCTGAAACGAACCAGGAAGCGGTTTAAGATGGAGTGAGTCTCAGTCCCAGAGAGGGCGAGGTGGACGCCCTTCGGCCGGGGCAGGAAGCGGAGGGCAGTGCCCAGGCTGAGACTCCAGGGCTGGAGGCAGGAGGCACCACAGGCCCACCTAGTGCCATGAGATATGCTAGCCCTGCTGTCACTCAGGGCCCCAAGCCCAGTAACACTCTGTTGTCACTGTCTTGAAACTCTTCCTTTTTGAGCAAAGGGCTGCACATTCTCATTCCACACGCGGGCCCCTAAAATTAGGGAGTGGTCCCAGGGCCGGGAGGAGGTGCTGACCCTGGGAGACAACTCCATGGCAAGCTCTGAGACCGAGTCACACTCCTGCCCTGGCCGAGGCGCCCTGGCAGTCTCCAGAGGCAAGGCAGTCCCCTGGGGGACCAGGGTTTCCCTGGTCTTACTTCCAGCTCCAGGGCCAATGTCCCCTGGTCAAGTGACCTAGGGCAAGTTAGCAGACACTCAGCCTTGATTCCCTAATCTGTAAAATGGGGCTAAAACTGGTTTGAGCCAGCACAGGCAGGCCCCCACCATGCCAGGCAGAGTGGTCAGTCGTACCTATGAGCTGCTCTCTCCTGGGGCCAGGTGATACCTGCACAGTGGGGCACAGTACAGGCCCGAGGGACAGTCTAGGGTGGTGGGCACCCACCTTGGCCCCTTCCCACCCCCAGGTTCTAACAAGGATCCCTCACTCACTGAGCCCTCTCTCCTCTTCCAGTCTCCAGGGCCTCCCCGCACACACCTTGCTCCTCTCCTGCCAACCTGAAAACAGCACACCTGTGTGCCCCTCCCATCTACCATGGGCTGTCCTCTCTGCCTGCCCGTGCACCTGCCCTGGAGCCCTGTTCCTCCAGTCTCTGGGTCCTCACCCCCAGCACGTGCAACACGACACCCTCAAAGTCACAGCCCCCCCACCCCCGCCATCCCATGGCACCTGCTCCCTGTCCTCCCCTGCCTCACAGGCCCTGTCAAGGGCTGTGTCCCTCCCTCCTTTTACCTCTCCTCCACAGCCCCCTTCAGAGCCCTCAGCCCTTCCCCAGGGCTCCAGCCAAGCCTGTCTCCCTCTCCCGAGGATCACTCACCCCGCCTTCGGCCCTCAGCTCTCCGCCCGCACCGCACTGTGGTTTTTGCAGTCCTAGGGAAAGTGCCAGCCGAGACCATCCAGCCCAAGTCAGAGGACTGTGAAACCTGGATTCCTGGGGAATGGGATCCCCGTGAGGAACTCCACATGGGACTAAGAACAGACCCTGTTCCTGGAAGTGGCAGGAAACCATCTCTGGTGTTAGAACTTCAGGCATCTTCAAACACTCTGAAGCCAGGGGAATCTTTTCAGGTAGGGGAACCTGCCTAGAGAGATAGCTAAAAGGTAATATTATTAGGCAGTTGCCCTCCCCTTTGCTTGAGGACATTGATGGCCAGGTGCTTGGGCCAGCCCTCACGCTCCATGTGAGGGCCACAGCAGCTGGCCGCTCGCTCTCCTGAGGAAGGGTACGGCCTGCCCTTCCCTAGGGCTAGGGCCACCACCGTGCCTGCTTCTCCTCTATGTGAGGATGGCTCCAGCCTCCTCCTCGAGCAGCTGCTGGGCCCGTGAACAGTCATCATGCCCTCTCTGCCCCATGCCACCAGCATCCTGAGACAGCCCTGTGGAGTAAGAGGAGAAGGGCTGGGCGCAGTGACTCATGCCTGTAATCCGAACAGTTTGGGAGGCCAAGGAGGGAGGATCACTTGAGCCCAGGACTTTGAGACCAGCCTGGGCAACATGGCAAAACCCCATCTCTACCAAAAAATACAAAAATTAGCCGGGCGTGGTGGTGTGTGCCTGTAGTTCCAGCTACTCAGGAGGCTGAGGTGGGAGGATCACTTGAGCCCTGGGGGGTTGAGGCTGCAGTGAGTTGATTGCACCACTGCACTCCAGCCTGGGTGACAGAGTGAGACCGTGAAAAAAAAAAAAAAGAAGAAGAAAGAAAAGGAAGGAAGGGAGGGAGGGAGGGAGGGAGGGAGGGAGGGAGGGAGGGAGGAAGGAAGGAAGGAGGGAAGGAGGCAGAGAGGGAAACAGGCAGGGAGAAATGTGCAGAGTGAATTTGCTGCAGGTAGGTCTCCAGCTGCTTGGTGCAGAGCCAGGCTCGCCCAGGATAAGGACCCTGCCAGGTCTGTGGCTCCTGCCTCCTCCCCTCCTGCTGCCATCCTGCAATGGGCGCAGACGGGATGCCAGCTTCTCTTCTGCAAACCCCTCTCCAGCCTCTGCTTCAGCCTGGCTGTGCAGGGTGGGGACTGTGGGTACTGGGAAGCCGGGTGCCCAGAGGAACCCCAGAAGCTGTGCCATCATCAGCATCCACCTGGCCAAAGCCTGCTGGTGACCCCAATTCAAAGGCAGGCCAGGCCCGCTGTCCTGCCCTGGATCCGGGCTGCTCTGGCCCCACCACCTGCCCACACCCCCACTCGCAGGCCTAGGTTGGAGAGGCAGGGTGTTTGAACCCTCACTCTCCTTCCTGAATCTTCCGAGTTGACTAAAAGCAAAACAGGAGTGGGTTTCTCTGTCTGCGGGGGGTGGGGAGCACCCTATCCAGACTCAGGGTTCGCCAGATGGACATGACTTGTTACCTAGGCCTGTCACGGGGCTCTGCACTTGGCCTTCGAACGTGGGCAAGCCAGGGGGCCTCCAGGCCTCTCTGGGGCTGCAGATCTGAC